AAAATAAAATAAAATAAAATAAAATAAAATCCTTATTTATGGATACTACCATTGACCTTTCTGGTACCACTCTTTGGGACATGAAATGCTATCATGGGAAGAGTTCCTTTCCTTGTACTTTAATGAATTATTCAACCACCTTTCTCTAAAGCCTACACTCTTGTGATGAACTTACATTGAAAGGGTTCCCTGCCACAATGTGGTTTATGGATCTTGTCTGCTCTAATCAATTAATATCCTATTTGCACAGACCAGGAGGAAAACGATACTTTTTCAGATGCCTGTTCAGAGATTAACTCAATGGCTCCAACTTCTGGTGTTCACAGAGGGCATACTAACTTCTGGACAGTGAGCAAGGGCAACAATGACCAAACAAGGAAAACATATACATGCCAAGAAAAGCTGCTTGGTGGGTGTCCAGAACCTTTTATTACATAGAAAGAGAATTACCTTTAAACAAAAATAAAATGCACAGCCCTAGACATGACTAAACTCTCTGGAGTGAGCTGTGTCATGCACATCTCAGGCAATTGACAAAATAATGAGATGGAAGAGCACTAAGCATCTTCCTATATTTTCCTTCAGGGATGGCAACAGCCTGAATGTATGTTTTGGGGGCCTAAGATTAGTAGACTGGTAAGATCAGTAAGGGCTCAATGGAAGTAGGGGCTTGCTTAATGCCAAGGTGGCAGCCCCCTACCCCAAATGCACACAGGGCAAGACTCTACACTATCCTTTTGATACACTTGCATGTTCCAGGACATGTAATATCTTCAAAACTTATGTTCCTTCTGCCTCTTCCCTTTACATTCCTCTCCTCTGGTTTTTGGCTGAAAGAATGGCTATTTCATATAGTAGAAAAGTTTAGACTCTCCTCTGCAATTCTTTTCCTTTTATTCTCCACCAGTAATAAACAAGTTGAATATTATCAACTTATGGGCCAAATAATAACTCTTATCTAATGCTGTGGCTGAGCTTTAAAAACACATAGTAAACACCAGCATAATGAGGTTTATTATTTATTTTTATGGGGATATGATGGCAAGAGACCAAACTTGATTCCTTGTCTTATGTAGCTAAAGGAGGAATGGACGTACATGGGAACAGCGCCTATCAGATGCAGAAGATATTGTAAGAACAGGCACCAGCTAGAAAAGTCTGTTGGGTATATGATCAAGAGCCTGGTGAAGGAATGGGAGATCACTGAGAAAAAGTGATTCTTGCATTGCTTTCAGGCTTATGCATCATTAGTGGTAGGGTGCCCAAAACATTTTTGCTGGGAAAAGTGTTGCTCTGGTTCGTGCTCCAGCAGTTCTTGCCTAAAGGAACTGTCCCATACCTTATTTTAGAGGCAGCCTGTGTAGTTCATATAAAAGCAGCACTGTTATAAATTAAGCTGCTGCTGGAATAAAAGTGAATGTTCATTGTTCTGAGAATCTGAGTTTCCATTTACAGTGTTACCTGCTTATTCCCCACCCCTACCCCAGCGTAGCCTTAAAAACTCTGGAACTTCAAGCCATCAGAATTGAGGTGTGCATGCATGTGAATGAAACAGAAATACTCTTTTTGAAAAACAGAAATCTTGTGCTGAGTCATTTTATAAATGATTTATAATAGAATGATCTTAAAATATGAGACTTGATGCTGAACACAATCCTTAGCAGGGCCGGTCAAAACTTTGACAATGTTAGAATTTTTCTGGCCAGATGAGTGAGGCTGCTGCTTGCTGAGTGGAATTGAACAGAGCAAAGGAACTACTTGGCAAAGATTTAAAAAACTGTCCAAAATCAGCAAGAGTTTTCTGCAGTGACTTCGCAGGATCTTTTGTTTTGTTTTGTTTGAAGATAAGAAACTGTAAACACAACCATTTCCAATAAGACTTAATATACTGGTACACTGACTGAAATGCCAGTCCTGATTCTCCCATCCCGCCCTGTCCCTTTCTTTAAAAAAGATTGTGATAACAAAAATTCTCATTCCTTACAAGTTGACGCACAGGTAACAAACAGATAGAAAAGATCAGATGCTAGAGTGGGTGAGGTTCTGCTTGGAAGGTTCATTAGTTTTGTTTTCTTTCCAGAGGGCCCCTAGGAAATACCTGAGTTGCAGGGGATGTTCCACCATTTGTTAAAATCTTGTGCTGGAAGCAGCTCTCCATGCTGGGATGAGAGCAGGATTGCCTCTCCCCACCTCCACCCAAGAAAACAAGAACCAATGCTGATATCTAAGAAGAGGCCCATCATGTGTCCAAAATCTCCCTGGTGGGGGACTGCTCATGAGGAAGGCCTTGTGTACTGTGGAGGGTCTGGTTGTGGGGCACTGAGTTCTGCTGCAGCTCAAGTGCAATGGCATTTTGTGGGAACTCCTTCACTTGCTTCTTGTACTCCAGGAATGTGCAGACCTTGGTGGCAATGGCAATTATATTCTTGCCAATGAAGATCGTAGAGACTCTGCTGTCTTGGAATAGGACCATATTAATGGCTCGGATGAATATGGTAACCATGTTTATGGTCACCAGGCTCAGGACAGGGTAGAGCATCATTTTCTGGGGAGCAATGTGCTCTCCTTGCATGCTAATCTCACTCAAGGAAACACAGGGCAGTATCAGGAGCAGTATGTAGCAATAGAAGAACATGAGTCCTTCTGCCCAGATTGGTAGACCAGTCTTGTGTGGCTCCCACAGGTTGGCCTGAATATCTAAGATATCCAATAGGTCTAAGGCCACCCAGAAGAGACGCCCTCGCAAATCCTCTTTCTTCCGGAAGGTGCGTATATATTCCATGCTGTCCAAGGCTACTAGCACCAGATACAATCCTGGCACACAGATGGAGAGAAGCAAGGTCAGTGCCTTTCTGGCCACCGTCTCCAGATTTCTCTTATCAGCCTTATAATTCTGGAATATAAAATACAGTTTGATTTCCAGCACAAATATATAGAGGAACCAAAGAATCATAGCATAGCCCCGTTTGGCTGTCTTCACCTCAGCCCCCACCCAGACGGCCACATAGCGCAGCACAATCAAAAAGCAGATGTCTCCTACCAGGACGATGATGCAGACACCAATTTTACGAGGCCCTTGGTTCTGCTCTACCAGATAAGCATCCATGAATGCCATGCTGGTCATAATAACAATGGTGGTGAGACACACGTGGCGCTTATCTGGGGGTGGAAGCACCATGATGAGATGATGGAACCACCCACCCTTTTCTTCCCACTTTGTGGTGCTGTTCCAAGTGCCAGTCTTACATTTGTCACTGATGAAATCCCTTGAAATCGTTGGCAGTAGATTTTAGTTATAAAAGAAGTTCCAGTAAGGCAGTAACAGATGAGCCTGATATTTCATCTGATATCCTCAAGTTCCAATCACTCAAAAGCATAGCAATCATGAGTCCTAAAATTTTTGCTGCACATGGAGCAAGATTTCCGCCAGCAGAAAGATCCTCCACTGCTTTCCACTGCATTCACCCTCTGCCCAAGGCTGTCATCAGCACTTCTGATAGCATCTTTGAGAAAACCTCTCCTTCAGTTATAATTGTTTGATTTTTCACCATTAATGTCCTTCTTGGGGAATGGGGAGGCCCTCACTGGCTTGTAGATAATCTTTCTTATGGACTTCTTGGCAGCAGCTCATCAAGTTCTTCAGCATATAAAGAAATGATCAGGCAACCATATGTGCTAGAACAGCAGGTCAAAACTTGTTGCTCCCCAAAAGCTGAATGATTCAGAGTTTTTCAAAGCTGCAAACAGAGGTGGTCATTTCCCAGGGTATCTTTTCCCCTGTAAGTCCCTCCGCTCCTCCATCCATGACTCTATCTGGAGCAGTATCCATGGAGAGTAAGACTTGCACTTCCAAGAGAGGCTTCTGATCCAGCACCTCTTTCTTGCTACTATCCATTCTGAGCTGGAAAAAAAAAAACCAGAGGAAAAATAAGTGAGGGAAGTTTCAGTCACGTATGTCAAGAAGCTGCCTCTTTCAGGGTGGATACTGAGAGTTAGAGGGAAGGAATAACTTCTGTTCTACAACCTTGTATTACAAAACACCCCAAATTCTGCTACTTGGGGGGCAAAATAACCTGCATTTGGGGAACAAGTCTCTGTCCTGGCTTTGTAGAAGATACAGAAGAAGCCCCACCATCAAGCAATTCAGGCAAAGAGTATTTGGAGCATAACAGCATACTGATGTTTTGCAATTGCCTTTGACGAGCCTCCTTCTTTAACTACTTTTCTAAAATTACAATTCTTGCCTTATGGAGGTGCCCAGTCTTACACTGATACTTTCAGTTTAAGAGAGGTGGAAGGAAAATGTTATTACTTTTACATTCTGTTTACTCTTTTTTACTTCTTTTATGCCCATTTAAACCTCTCAAACCCCCAGTATTATGTAATATTATGTGATGCTATGAATCAGGAAAAATAAATCTAGATTTTGCCTCAAAAGAGATGTTGGAAAAGTCTATCAATACAACCAAATCACATTCTGCTGACATGACCTCACTTTATCACCTCAGCTAGCCCCTTTCTGAGTTCAGGGCACCATATCATATGATCCCATTTTTTCCCATGACACTAAGCCCCTGTGAATCTATGTTAAGGACTTAACTTGAAGTAATCACTCCTTTTCTCCCTTTCCCTTGTACTTGGAAGGAGGAGGAAAAAGCTCTGTATCTCCTGACTGGCATCTTAAAGCTGAATTTGTCAGATGCCTCCTTCTCTGTTGTATAACTAGATCTGACATCTGATTTAAATGGGTTTAGACAACTTTGAAGTTTCAAACTAATGTTTCATCTAATCACAGCACTTTCTAAACTTCTCTCAGGAAACACATACTTCGGAAGGCAAAATATGTTGCATTTGATTCATTGTTCTGGCCCGGGAACTCCTGCAGTGTGCATTTTCAGAATACAGTGAGATCTTTGGAAACATGCTATGACAAGAAAGGATAAAAAAGAAATGCTGTGCACTAATGGTTATTGTTAAGAAAGAAGAACAGCAACAGAAGTCTTTCATTTTAGGAACAGCTTCCATAACTCCAACTATGGATGCCAGAATCAAGTAAGCTGCACAGTAATGATAGGTGCGAGTCTGTATCTGCATAACCTTCAGCGTACATCCTCCATGACATTCTTCACATTCAACCTGATACTATGTTGTAGGAATAATGGAGCAAGTTATTCATTGTAATGCAATAACCAATACAATTATAAGTGTTATGAATATGTATGAGTAAGATCCTGCCATGGCCAATGAAAATATGTAGAAAAGGATCAATGTCAGGGCTCTGCCACACAGACCATAGCAAAATAACAAATCAAAGCCATTTAATAATTGCTGCAGCACTGGAACCTTGGAGAACTGACATCTCCAATATATGAAAGAAAAACATTACTCCAAACAAATATGCTTCATATAATGACAGATGGCATGTTATGTCCCAGATGGGGAATTGTAGCAAATACCTTTTAGAAGGCTATTTTCATCCAGCTTTGGTTAGCACATCAGGACAGAAGCTACAAGAAGCTAAATAAACAATGGAAATACTGTAGAGTCTTTTTTAAAAAATCAAGGCAAAAAACTGCATACAGTAAAATGCACATTGGACTAGATTCATTGATCAGAACCAGGCATGAGGCAGAATAAACTGTACTCCTTTGCCTTAAGCTTGCTCACCCCTATTGCTTGCTTCATAGTGGCTGTACTGGAAGCAAGACACATTCCAAAACCTTGCCTACATCTTCTATAAAATTCTGGCCCAATCTCCTAAACACTTGCTGAACCCTTTTTCATGCAAGTTAGTCAGCAGCTCAGAAAATGACAGAAGATAATCAGTATTATAATCCAACTGCCATCCATTTCTCATCTAGGATCTAGAAAGCTCCTCTAACAACTGAAGCTGACTTTGTTTTCTTCACTATCACAATCAGTACAGTGTTTCATTAACAAAACACAGCCATTACTCTAACATCATGTAATATCAGGCAGATTACAGATGGGAGACTTTATAATGAACATGCATGCTTTTAAAACCACTTAATGTTCTCCAGTTTTTGAAATGGCTTCATCAACCCTTCATGTTTACAGGTCTAATTGATTTAAGAATGGAATATTCCATGCAAGATCCTCCTTGCTCTGGAAATTAATTAGGGATTTTGAAACGTTCTGAAATAAGGAGGTTTTCAAGCATTCAAAGTGCTCATCTGAACTATCTGGTGTCCTCTGCCTGATGTGTTGATCTCTCTTGGCCAAGAGAAGGGAGAGACACTTGGTACAGGAGATTGCTCTGTCAAAGGGCAGAGGCCTCCCATGAAAATGGGGGAGGATTACTGAGCCTCTTTTCTTTTTGAAAGAGCATAGTGAAATGGCAGTGTGTGGGGCACCATTTCTTGATAGGCAACATCTGCATCCTGTGGAGGGAGGACAGGTGAGGAGTCCTTCCAAAGTAAGGCTTTATTTCTTGTGTGGGTTAAGGAATAGTAGCAATGGATAGGGAGAAAAACCAGAAACCTGTTTAAGATGGACTGTACTCATTTTGAGGGTACCTATCTCTTGTGTGGAGATACTGCTTGCATTACAGCTGTAAGCCCACCTTTTAGGCCTCAGTGCAAACTTATTAAAAATAGAAATGGTGGATTCTGCAGCCAGGTCATTTGTCTGGAAATGGGCCACTTGTCTAGGAAAAGAAAAGTACAAGTAAGGCAATAAGGAACATTGTAGAGAATTCCTCTCTTTCTTCCTAACAACTGTACAAAGCCAAGCGCAATCTTAAGACTTCCGGGCTCAGGAATTTTCTGAGTTTTCTCTCAGAAGTTAATGGGGCAACATTTCTAAGCCAAAATACTGTAGATTTTCTAAACTAAATGGAGTATGTGGACATCCAGCTTCCTGCCCCTGTTCTGAACTCTTCCTGCATTTCATATTGTTGAGTTCCTTTTCTAGAGAGAACTTCCTAGGGTTATAATTTTTTTAACTTTTTAAAATTATTTTCTCTAGCTATGTATAAATGATGCTACTTCATTTAACTTCATCAAGATCAGCCTTTATTAGAGAATGTGCACTACAAGATTATGTGGGATAATGTTCTGGGATTTCAGTTTTTCCCATGATGTGCATGATTCACAATAGCATAAAATTTCACACTTATTTATTTGCTTGTGCAGAGATATATGTATTTTATATACATACATACATACATACATATATCTATATATATATATATATATATAAATGTAAAAATAAAAAAATCAGGTTTCTCTGAGACATTGATTTACAGTAGTATGGGATATTATACAGACTTTAGTCAAATTTCCTCTGCTGTTTTACTGACCATTTTCAAAAATATAGTTTTCAAATATTTAATATTTGAAATGTTCGCTTATATGCAGGATGTTAGGTAAGATGGTACCCCAAATATCTCCACTTGCAAACTGCTTATATTAATTCATTTTAGGGAACATAGTTAAGAGACCATCATCAAGGCAGGACAAGAACACTTACGCAGCAGCTGCATCTGGGCTGCGCAGATCCAAGTGACCATTACACTACAATTAAGAGGCATGGACTCTTTTCTGCCACCTAGTGGCTCTTAATTTAAAGGTTGATAGTCCTTTGCAGAGGAAAAAAAAACCTGAGTGCATGGAGAAGCCGGACCTGACATGCACCATCCCATTATGCATTTCGCACTGATGAGTTTTCCTGTGGTTGGTGTTATTTCAGTTTCAGCCAGGGAAAGCCACCAAACCCTTCCCTTGCAGTGTTGCATGGAGGAGCTGTGTGGGAACAATACTGCAGGACCCTGTTTGGTAGGTGTCCACGCTGTGGAGTAGCACAATTTATGGTGAATGGTTTCTTCCTGATTCTGGGATGGGAGGAAGTCAGAGCAAAGCAGCTGTGTGAATGACCCTCAGACCTGTCTTGAACTCTATTATGTATTCTCAGGACCCAATGTGAGCCTCACAACCAGAAATATTATCTGTCTTTAAACCAGGTTTATCTTCTGTTACTTAGTTCAAATACTTAGACTGAAATTCATACATGTTAAGATTTGCTTATTAGGTCAGCTGTGTACAAGCAGAAGGGAAAGTAACCTAAGTACCAACCAGGGCAGAATTTCAGGAAGCAGGAAATTCTCACAACAGGAACCAACTCAAGGCCTTCACAATAGCATTATTCCAACAGCCCTTCCCGAGCAAAGCTGCTTCCTAAACAGCAACAGCTCCTGACTCCACCAAACCATAGTTGGCTTTGATCTGCTCTAGTCTTCTCTCCAATTAATCCAGCTAGATCTAGCTGGCCCTTGGGATATTCAAGCATTCTCTGCCGTTCTACCTTT